ATTTTCTGATATTATCCATGAGGCGTCGTTCCGATCTTTTTTTGTGGGCCATTGAGCCGTCGTCCCCTGTTCAAAGGATTGACGGCCTGATGAAAAGTTTTTTTAATGCTTTTATTGAGGCTGATTACTGGCGGTGGTCTTCAGTCTTTCACACGGGTTTGTAATCAGGGTATACTTGTTCTATGCACATCGGGCCTAAACCACCTTAAACTCTGTGAATCCCGGTATCCAGAGCTTTGTTAACCGATCGTTTAAGATTTCATGGCAGATGCCTGACCGTATTGTCACACGAACCACTACCTTCTCCGATGGTCACTATTCTCGTCGAAGATACCAAAAGTACCCAAAAAAGGGGGCGGTGCAGTACGCCGTGAAATCATATCTTGAGGTATTCATTCGTTATTATTCAATGGGAACGAAATAAATAATTTAAATTTTGAGTTTACCAAAAAATCGAAACTCTGCAGCGATTAACGATCTTGGGGTCAAATGCCATCGTTTAACGTTTGAACCGTGGGTGGTTTCGAAATTTAACTTATGGTGCCACGGGTATTGCTGTCACTGAAGATGTTCTGCCTGTTAATTTGTTCACTGTTCAAGCCATGGATGCAGGCGGCATGAATGATTTATCTACAAATCAGCCTGTATAAAATTATTTTATTAGACAGCAAAATGGTAGAAATGGCTTTAATGGGTAGAAAACAACTAAATTTACGTTCGTCCTCTGCCATGGATTGTGTACATATAATTTAACTGCCTCTAGTTTTTTTTCGTAGTGAAATAAGCTGGTTATATGCTCTCTTCGGCCTTCGATGTAGAATAAACCTTGAATTTCCGTTCTTTCAGTCAAATAATATTCTTGAGGGATGAAACGCGGAGGCGATCGGTTAACCGAAATATCTCTGCTGTATCATCTACGACGATGGCAACACCTAATTAAAGTTGAATCAGAGGATTATTGTTGATTCGAGATCTTTTAATAAGCGGTTCAGTATGTAGTCTGAAAAAAAGTTTTTTTCGACCTAAGTTCACTTCTACCCTTCTTTGGCTACGTACGACTTGTTACAGGGCTCAGTGGCTATCTTTCTGTCAAAAGACCCAGGGTGGCGGTTGAACAGTTACAAGAGGCTAGCTTCAACTCATAACGAAGATTGAACAATGCCACCGCCATGTAGGTTATGAATCTCCTCATGTGTGATACCAACATGTAATATAAATGAACGGGACAGAGAGAGATGCAAGTTTAGAAAGGAATTGCA